TGGGTGTAGATGGGTGGGTGTGGGTGTAGATGGGTGGGTGTGGGTGTGAGTCTGGGTTCTTCTTCAAATACACCCACATCCAAACCCCACATCCACACCCACACCCACACCCCACATCCACACCCACACCCACACCCACCCACAGCCACACCCACACCCATCCACAGCCACACCCACAGCCACACCCACACCCACACCCTTGTAGCCCTTTCTTCAAAGTTTCAGAATCAGTCAAAAGCCCATTTGGTTTTTTTCTTTCTCGAGATATTACGAAAACTCTGAATAGAAATGATAATATAATTACCTGATTCTCAAGCTTATATGAAACAAGTTTGACACCGTAACTCAGGAACAGTTCAACCGTTCAAACTGAAATTTTTACCATAGATAGACTAGAAAACGGGTCGTCTGTTGATGTACTTTTCGGTTTGAAATATCTTTGTACGAAAAAATTCACACAGTGCACTGTTTTACGTATGAATTACCCATTTATGGTATAAAAGTGAATATTAATGTTTTGAGCAAAAATGGGTCTAGATCCTTTAAAAATAGCTTTATTTCGTTACCAAACGATTCCTCGTGAAATTCTGCACTAGGAAAGTCATGAATGAAGGGAAACTGACGATGGCCCAAAAATGGTCCTTATACGCTCCCATTCTTTGACAAGATCTTTGAGATCAAGGAGCCTGAAAGATCCTCGCAGGCTATCTCAAGAAATGATCAAGATTGAGATTAGGAAGAGCATGGTGGCTATTCTCGCCCCTCACGTCAGTAATCTAACGTGGTTATATTGATTCTAAACACACCTGGCGATGAACGGTAGCAAAGACCGAAACATGTCGTATCATATAGCTTGAATCAATCTCATCGGTAAACCTAACCGAGCCGTTAATTGAAAATAGGGTGAAAAAATAGTTCAACTTTTCTCAGCCAGTGGATGGTGAGATGCTCGGTATGGTTACTGATCAAAAGAAGTTAAGACAACAATTGAAATGACGCTTTATGATTAAAAATTTCAAAGCAAGAATAAAGAATTCAAGTATATATGAGTGTTCGTAGACTCGATTATCAGTTAGTTGTAGGCGGGACATTGGTAATCGCCTATTTTACAGCTGGCTGGATCGCTTGACGAACAACTAATACATACTCCCACTCGTGTATTTCCACATTCGGGTACCATAGTTATTGAACATCCTTCCTTGACGTAAGGACCCACATTTCCGGTAGGTATGTCTAAAAGAAAATGTCTCCATTAAATAGATGATTGGATTTTGCCTAACTCAATGTGTCACGGATTGTTACTTGGTCGTTCTTTTACAGTATGATAGGGATTTAGCAAAAGACTCAACTGATAGTTCTAAGACTAGAAGACTTTGAACACAACGGGCGGATATTCTGACGTAGATTTTTTAATGGATCTGATAATAGCTGCGAGATGTTGGACATCGAATGCTGTATTCAATCATTCGCAGGACTGTCGCGAGCGAGGAACGGGCGAGTCACCCCCAGTCTTCAAAAACTTTGTTTCTTTTGCTCGATGTTTTTTATAAATTTTTAAGAAGTTTTCAGAAAATTTAGAAGACTTTTCAAAAGATTTTCAAAGGTTTTCTAAAAATTTCCGAAAATCTTCAAAAATCTTGAAAAAACTCTAAAATTTTTCAAGGAATCTCCGAAATTCTTTTCATAATCTCGATAGTTTATAGAAGTTTTTGGAAAGTTTTCGAAAAATTTTTTGACCCCTTCCCAGCTTTTACATCTCGCAACAGCCTTAATCATTCGATAAAATCGGAATCACTTTCCAAATAGCATGAGATCAAATATTCATTGTAATAAACTGTCGCAAATTCACCACAAGATGTCTAATAGAATTATCGCTTATACCATGAGCGTTGTTTATAGATTGCTGACCAAGTTATGAAAATCGAAAATCTTGTCTTATAAAGTTCTTCTATTGTTGTTGACAGATTATCTTATCTCATGTTTTAGATTGTCGTAACGACAAAAATTACATAGTAACGAATAGATATTGCCGTCAGGCCTCGCGCGAGAGTCCCAATATTGGGGGGGGGGGCGATGTAAAGGGTATGTTCAAGAAAATCTTGCAGAAAAAGTGTAAAATCTGGATGAAATCTGCTCTTGTTGCTGAAGAAAACTGAAAATTTCTGATTATTGGGAGTGTATTCTCCCCTACACCTCTCGCTCGCGCGGAGGCTGATTGCCGTTTTAGAGTTTGCCTATTATTTATCTAAAATGAAAGTTGCTAAATGTATCACATTTTCTCACCAATTTATGCCATGAATATTAGGAATGAGTTTCTTGAAAAGAATTCAAGGGTTTATCGAGTAAAAAAAGAAACGAGGTGCTTGAAAACAATAGTGAATATTTTTAAAGGAGACTTAAAATTCATACCTATCGGTGTCTCTAATGGTAATCTCAATAATCTGCTGACATATGAGACTGACGTTGTGATATTGTAGAGTGCAACTCGAACAAGATTGTTCGAATTATCTCGTTCGTAGGTCACTTTGAAATCAGTATTTGATGTCGGACGACAATTAAATTGATTAGCAACACAGGCTGGCGGCACTGGTGTTGATACTAAAGACGAGCAGACTGGTAACTTTTTGATGAATCCAAATGTAAGCGAAAGTCCGGAGTGTCCGTTCGGACGGTGTATTGCGCATCGTGGTGGGTAAAGTTCTGTGTTGCTACGTGGCAGACAAAGATTGGCACCATCGCCTAAGTTTAGATTGAACGTTGGAGACCATGGAGGATGACGTGCATTGACTTGGCGAACTGCTTCAACTCGAGAAGCATCTGCAAGTGCCAATCGGTATCGAATCGATGTGCGCAAGTTTTCTTTCACAACTTCATCACTGACAAAATCATACCAAGGTACCATCTCGAGAATTTGCAAGAGAGCAGGACCTGGAGCCAGAGTTTTTTTCCAATCCTCATCATTGAGTTCGACGTTACCACCAAGACGACGTTTCCATGTTACACGAGATCGGCTAGCATAGTAGGAACAATCAGATCCACTGGGGTTTCGAATAGAAAAAGGTATGCATTGAGAAACAGCATCGTCTCCGAAAATAGTCAGACATCGTTTGACTTTAGCTCTTTCCTCAAGCATACCGCCGATAAGAGACTTGGTAATAATATGAGTACCCCAAGCGTCCAGAAAATCTTCGTAGAGTTGTGCATTGAATGTTGGTGTTAGTTGGGATATTGCCTGACGAGCAAATGAATTCAATTGCATAGTTGATGCATTAAGTCTAACCGTGTAGAGACCAATGGGACGTTGTGCAAGTACGAACCAATCATCATGAGCAAAATATCTAGAGAAGAAACACAAATATTGATGCACAATATGTTTTTGTCGAAAAAGAACGAGATTTGGTTTAAAACACCGATTTCGTACGAATGGTCTCATATAAGAAATCGTAATGCCATAGGATGAAACTGATCGATGTCGATGCAAAGTATGCATTTTCTTTTTTGTTTGTTATCACTCGTTCCGATAGAGGATTAAATCTAGTCAAACGAAGTGAATAATAGACTATTCTTGGATGCCCTTAATCTATTTATATGCTTCTTCTTAGCCTCTCAGCTGGTTCATGTTTACAGATAACGGAAATAAAGAAGATTGCCTTAAACAATCATCTTGAAATCAATAAAATCAAATCGAGACACTCACTTATCGTAGTAGTCGAGCATATCTGGTGCTCGAGCTAATTCTCCACCACGCAATGAACCATCAGCGAATGTTTGTCGCCAGGCCGCGTCTAGTTGTGAAGCATTATGAAAAATACGAATACCAAGTGCATCGTAAGCAACTATTTCTTGATCAGGTGGTCCAATAACTGCTTCATTGAAGAGATTAAACATTGCACCGGAGTGACCATCGGTCCATGTTCGAGTACCATCTGGAGCATACGTTAACTGAACTGCTGGAGCCAATAGTCGACCTGTACTTCGATCAACACTGATGCCAACGCCAACTGGCAATTTTCTTGACATTACATTTAGTTCTCTACCAGAAATTTGTACAGACTGATTATCGAAACACCTCAGTCCTTCAGTTCCGACAAATGGACAAAGAGCTGCTCGAGCTTCTTCAGTGAAAATAAACGGCGATGTGGTACGGTTTACCGTCTGGGGTTGCTGCTGAGTACTTAATTCTAAAGAACGTTTTGACAGCGGTCTTTGACATCGAGATTGCGGCGGCTTCGGAATGGCTTGGAGTTCCGCAATATAGGCACGTTCATTTAAATCAGCTTGAGTGCGAAAATAGAGCGTGGCCTGTTCGAGAGCTTCTCGTTGATCGCTCTTTGCTGGTAGAAGTCTGTGGATAGGAAGAAGATCATACGATATTGACCGTGGATGATGCTTCACGGTTGGAACCCATTCACGCCATTTTGAAATGTCTATGGATTCGGTACCACCCATTAATTGCAGCGAATATTGTGAGTGTTTGATCCATTCTTCACTGATCACTGTTGTTGTTTGCTCAATAGTTGAAGATGAACGAAAGAGTCCCCATGCCTTGCGCTTTTCCACCTAGTAGAAAAGTATTTGATATGTGGTCAAAATACTCAGAGCAAGCTTTGCCAGATGTGCTTAAAGCAATCCGACCGATTTGATTTATTTATTCAAAAATGTTTATAAACTTCTTTCAAAAATTGCTCAAATAGGCTATTTTTATGGTCCTTTCTTTGATTCATTCTTTTACTCACTTGTTCACGGATCCACGTCGTATTTTTTATGCGAAGCAGACAACTATCGAACCAATCTTGTGCCCACACCAACCCTCCCATTGTTGAGCTCACCACCACATGAGTACCGAAGGAATCAAAGAATTGTTTGAATAGACGAATATGCGTTGCATTTGTTGAATTGAATGTGGAAGGCAGAGCCGCAATCGCTTTAGTTGTCAAATCGTTCAATTTCGGTGTGGGAAATGTAATAACACTTAGTGAGTACCAGGCAATTTGTCGTATTGTAGACGCTAAATAAGTGTCAAATTGATAAAATCGATTATGTATGAATTCACTCTGAATGGTGCGGGTTGATGAACTATAGCCCAAAAATCCGCTTGAATCTTGCCGCGAATTATAGAAAGTTTTTGTAATAAACTCGTAGGCATTCTTAATGATCTGTGTTTCGAGCACTTCAATAGAGTCTGATGCATCCATTACGTAGAAGCCATATGGCACCACATAAGATAGTGATTGATTATATGGATCAGCCCAATTACTAATATTATTGACACCGCCCAAATCGAGAAGACAATGACGACTTTTCAATGTCGTTACATCATAGCCACATCCAACAACATCTAACCCTTGAATAAGAACATTTGTCGATGGCAGAAGACGAGCTAATGATTGAAGTGAGAGTGAACACTCACAGTAAGCACAAAATAATATAACATAAATGAATGTATATATTGATCTCATTATCTGAAAAGAAAACTAGTACTTATAGATGAGCGTTTTGTCTAACATCGACGGATCCTTTTCTGTTCAATTATATACTTTAGCATGAAGTCTTGCAAACCTATGACTTTTGTTAAATAAAAGCGAACTACTCCTAACCTTTCTTTACCTGTTTGAACCGATTTCGATCCAACAAAATCCGATTTGATCCGGACTCTATATCCGATATAATAAACATATTATAATCTTTTCGTCGAACAAATACATCAGTTACTTCGACGAATTTGTATTGATCGGTCAAATCAAAGTTCTGTATCCAATTTATTAGAGCAGCTATACATACTTGATTGATGTGTGAAGTATAATAGCTTTATGATAAACGATCGAACAGACTATGATAGTAATTAAAGCATGTATATGAGACGATCGATAGTTATCTGTATTGATATATAGGTCTCAATGACTCTCGAAAAAAAAGAGTCAAATATAACGTTATAGGACAAAACCAAAAAGAGGAACAAATTATAGATAATAAATAATAGCAACATATTTTTTCCGATAAACGTGAAAACTGTCGGTACTGGGAGTAGCCTGCACTATATAAATGAGAGTATGCTGCCTACCACTTGAAATGAAGATTCAATACTTACTTTGACGGATAATTATTCAGTTCAGCTCAAACCTTCTAGAAACATAATGGATTATGCAAATTATAGAACCAATAATCGGCGAAATAATCATACTCGTTCATTTGCATACACTTACTGTTTCTTATATATATACTAGTCGAATCATTCACAGAATTCAATAAATCGTAAATAACGAGCGAGGCAAACTTTGTATTAATTCTGTTTGGTTTGTGCTTCAGTATAAGAATATTATCAAAAGGGAATCGGCGGATTCTCGGGATTTCGAATCCCATGGAAATCTCTGGAATCCCGTGGGAATAAGGGAATCTCATGGAAATCCAGGGAATCCTATGGGGATCCCGGGAATCCCATGGGAATCCCGGGAATCCCATGGGAATCGTATGAGAATCCTGTGGAAATTCCAAGAATACTTGAACTAGATGTCTGAACAACACTGGAATTATAACTCATGCTCAAGCATACCAAGTATCAATTCATTCACTTAATCTTTTGAAACCCATTCCTTTAAAAGAACCATGTAGAAGTATGGGAGATAAGGGTGTGAGTATGAATGTTTCGTGGGGATGGGAAGAAAGCGCAGATCCACACCCTCATAAATATCGTTAACTGAACATTCTGGTCTATAGAAGCGACTGCTTTCTAACGAAATAATGTAAGCCAAATCGTGACATCTAGTATGATTATTTATACAGTTCATATAGGTGAGAAATTTCAAACACTTTGCATAATGACGCTTATATTGATTCATAGAAGGGAGATCGGACTACAACTTTAAATTCCGCATAAAATATGTAGATATGATTGAATTAAGGGACTAACTCCGTAGCCGAACTTGCGGTCTTTTCATTTTATTCAATATTAGTAAGTCGTAGTTTCGCGGTAAAGACTATTCTTCCTACACTGATCAATAATGATCTACCCGTTAATATTAATACAAAAACC